AATGTTCGTGACTTTTCGGCCCGGCCGAAATCGCCCGAACATTGGGGTCAGATTGGCCGAAATCGCCTGAACATGGGGGTGTGTTTAGGGTTTCAGGGCCTCAGGGCCTGTGTTTAGGGTTTCAGGGGCCAGCGTTTAGGGTTTCAAGGCCTCAGGGCCTGTGTTTAGGGTTTCAGGGCCTCAGGGCCTGTGTTTAGGGTTTCAGGGCCCAGCGTTTAGGTTTCAAGGCCTCAGGGCCTGTGTTTAGGGTTTCAGGGCCTCAGGGCCTGTGTTTAGGGTTTCAGGGCCCAGCGTTTAGGGTTTCAAGGCCTCAGGGCCTGTGTTTAGGGTTTCAGGGCCTCAGGGCTTGTGTTGTGTTTAGGGTTTCAGGGCCTCAGGGCCTGTGTTTAGGGTTTCAGGGCCCAGCGTTTAGGGTTTCAAGGCCTCAGGGTTTAGGGTTTCAGGGCCTCAGGGCCTGTGTTTAAGGGTTTCAGGGCCCAGCGTTTAGGGTTTCAAGGCCTCAGGGCCTGTGTTTAGGGTTTCAGGGCCTCAGGGCCTTTGTTTAGGGTTTCAGGGCCCAGCGTTTAGGGTTTCAAGGCCTCAGGGCCTGTGTTTAGGGTTTCAGGGCCTCAGGGCCTGTGTTTAGGGTTTCAGGGCCCGGCGTTTAGGGTTTCAAGGCCTCAAAGCCTGTGTTTAGGGTTTCAGGGCCTCAGGGCCTGTGTTTAGGGTTTCAGGGCCCAGCGTTTAGGGTTTCAAGGCCTCAGGGCCTGTGTTTAGGGTTTCAGGGCCTCAGGGCCTGTGTTTATGGTTTCAGGGCCCAGCGTTTAGGGTTTCAAGGCCTCAGGGGCTGTGTTTTTTAGGGTTTTCAGGGCTCAGGCCTGTTTTTAGGGTTTTTCAGGCCCAGCGTTTGGGTTTCAAGGTTTCCAGGGCCTGTGTTTATGGTTTCAGGGCCTCAGGTCTTGTGTTTAGGGTTCATGGCCCAGCGTTGAGGTTTTAAAAAGGCCTCAGGCCTGTGTTTAGGTTTCAGGCCTCAATGGCCTTTGTGTTTATGGTTTCCGGGCCAGCGTTTTAGGGTTCCAGGCCTCAGGGTTTAAGGTTTTCAGGCCTCAGTGCCGTGTGTTTAAGGGTTTTCAGGGCCCAGCGTTGAAAGGGTTTCAGGCCTCAGTCCTGTGTTTAGGGTTTCAGGGCCTCAGGGCCTGTGTTTAGGGTTTCAGGGCCCAAGCGTTTAGGGTTTCAAGGCCTCAGGGCCTGTGTTTAGGGTTTCAGGGCCTCAGGGCCTGTGTTTAGGGTTTCAGGGCCCAGCGTTTAGGGTTTCAAGGCCTCAGGGCCTGTGTTTAGGGTTTCAGGGCCTCAGGGCCTGTGTTTAGGGTTTCAGGGCCCAGCGTTTAGGGTTTCAAGGCCTCAGGGCCTGTGTTTAGGGTTTCAGGGCCTCAGGGCCTGTGTTTAGGGTTTCAGGGCCCAAGCGTTTAGGGTTTCAAGGCCTCAGGGCCTGTGTTTAGGGTTTCAGGGCCTCAGGGCCTGTGTTTAGGGTTTCAGGGCCCAGCGTTTAGGGTTTCAAGGCCTCAGGGCCTGTGTTTAGGGTTTCAGGGCCTCAGGGCCTGTGTTTAGGGTTTCAGGGCCCAGCGTTTAGGGTTTCAAGGCCTCAGGTTATAGCTGTTTCAGGGGCCTCAAGGGCCTGTGGTTAAGGTTTCAGCGGCCCGCGGTTAGGTTTTCAAGGCCTCAGGGCCTGTGTTTAGGGTTTCAGGGCCTCAGGGCCTGTGTTTAGGCTTTCAGGGCCCAGCGTTTAGGGTTTCAAGGCCTCAAGGCCTGTGTTTAGGGGTTTCAGGGCCTCAGGGCCTGTGTTTAGGGTTTCAGGGCCCAGCGTTTAGGGTTTCAAGGCCTCAGGGCCTGTGTTTAGGGTTTCAGGGCCTCAGGGCCTGTGTTTAGGGTTTTAGGGCCCAGCGTTTAGGGTTTCCAATCAAGGCCTCAGGGCCTGTGTTTGGTTTCAGCGCAGGGCTTGTTTAGGTTGTCAGGGCCCAGCGTTAGGGTTTTCAGGCCTCAGAGCCTGTGTTTAGGGTTTCAGGGCCTCAGGGCCTGTGTTTAGGGTTTCAGGGCCCAGCGTTTAGGGTTTCAAGGCCTCAAAGCCTGTGTTTAGGGGTTTCAGGGCCTCAGGGCCTGTGTTTAGGGTTTCAGGGCCCAGCGTTTAGGGTTTCAAGGCCTCAGGGTTTAGGGTTTCAGGGCCTCAGGGCCTGTGTTTAAAACGAGCGGCCCCTAATCTGGAGTAAAATGAAAACCGTTTATTTTCTTAATGTTATGGGATTCTTTGGGCGGGTGGGTTTTTTCCCTGAGCCTGGAATGAATGCTAGAACAGTGACCCTCTAGACCCTAAACCCTAAACCCTAAACCCTAAACCCTAAACCCTAAACCCTAAACCCTAAACCCTAAACCCTAAACCCTAAACCCTAAACCCTAAACCCTAAACCCTAAACCCTAAACCCTAAACCCTAAACCCTCAAGAAAAAATAAATAGAGCTTGTATGTGGTCTCATTATGAATTTCCCATGTTATTCGTCTAAACAGCTGACAAGCTGCGTTTAAGTAAATCAATCCAAAACAATTCGGAAACCAAATGCTCAATTTACTCAAACCTCTCCCTCCCCCCCCCCCCCCCCCCCCCCCCCCCCCCCCCCCTCCCTCCCCTCGCCCAAGCCTCCTCATCCCCCCCAGATCTTTTTCCAGCTCAGATCTCCCTCCAACCACATCTCCCCCACATCGCCTCTGCCCAGATCCCCCGCAGATCTGGTTAGATCCCTTTCAACCCCCCACATCTTCCCAGATCCCCTCCCCCTCACATCTCAGATCTCACCCCAAATCTCCTCCCAGATCAGAGATCTCCCCCAGATCTCGCCCAGATCCCATATTTCCACTAGATCTCCCCAGATCTCTTTCCAGATCCCCCCCCCAAATCTTCTTTGCAGATCTCTAGCAGATCTCCCCCCCAGAAGAATCACCGCAAACCCCCAGCCTGGACCCTCAAACAGCAACTAGAGCAGCTTATCACTGAGCATTTTCTAGAGAGCAACAATCATGGCTGTAGACATGTCCATGCTGCAAGTTGAGAATCACCACAACCCTCAGTCCAGACCCTCAAACAGCAACTAGAGCAGCTTATCACTGAGCATTTTCTAGAGAGCAACAACCATGGCTGTAGACATGTCCATGCTGCTGGTTAAGAATCACCGCGAACCCCCAGCCCAGACCCTCACTGAGCATTTTCTGGAGAGCAACAACCATGGCACTAGACATATCCCAGCTGCTGGTTAAGAATCACCGCAACCCCCAGCCCAGACCCTCAAACAGCAACTAGAACAGCTTATCACTGACCATTTTCTAGAGAGCAACAACCATGCGACAGGTTGAGAGTCATCGCGAAACCCTGCCCAGACCCTCAAACAGCAACTAGAGCAGCTTATCACTGAGCATTCTCTAGAGAGCAACAACCATGGCACCAGACATGTCCATGCTGCTTGTTAAGAATCACCGCGAAACCTTGCCCAGACCCTCAAACAGCAACTAGAGCAGCTTATCACTAAGCATTTTCTAGAGAGCAACAACCATGGCACCAGACATATCCCAGCTGCTGGTTAAGAATCACCGCGAAACCCTGCCCAGACCCTCCAACAGCAACTAGAGCAGCTTATCACTGAGCATTTTCTAGAGAGCAACAACCATGGCGTCCATGCTGCTGGTTAAGAATCACCGCGAAACCCTGCCCAGACCCTCAAACAGCAACTAGAGCAGCTTATCACTGAGCATTTTCTAGAGAGCAACAACCATGGCACCAGACATATCCCAGCTGCTGGTTAAGAATCACCGCGAAACCCTGCCCAGACCCTCCAACAGCAACTAGAGCAGCTTATCACTGAGCATTTCTAGAGAGCAACAACCATGGCACCAGACATATCCCAGCTGCTGGGTAAGAATCACCGCGAAACCCTGCCCAGACGCTCCAACAGCAACTAGAGCAGCTTATCACTGAGCATTTTCTAGAGAGCAACAACCATGGCTGTAGACATGTCCATTCTGCTGGTCAAGAATCACCGCAACCCTCAGTCCAGACCCTCAAACAGCAACTAGAGCTGCTTATCACTGAGCATTTTCTAGAGAGGAGCAGCCGTGGCTGTGGACATGTCCCAACTGATTAAGAATCACCGCAAACCCAGTCCAAACCTGCAAAAAGCAGCAGAGAGCAACAACCGTGGCTGTAGACATGTAGGACGGTGCGTTGCATTGATTTAACAGTTTTCCTCTCACTCCTTTGTTGCGCTTGATAAACTTTGAACCCCCCCAAGAGCTCCAGGTTTCACCTCCTTTAGGCCCACCCGAGAGCTCCAGGTTTCACCTCCTTTAGGCCCTTCCGAGAGCTCCAGGTTTCACCTCCTTTAGGCCCCCCCGAGAGCTTCAGGTTTCACTTCCTTTAGGCCCCCCCGAGAGCTCCAGGTTTCACCTCCTTTAGGCCCCCCCAAGAGCTCCAGGTTTCACCTCCTTTAGGCCCCCCCAAGAGCTCCAGGTTTCACCTCCTTTAGGCCCCCCGAGAGCTCCAGGTTTCACCTCCTTTAGGCGCCCCCGAGAGCTCCAGGTTTCACCTCCTTTAGGCCCCTCGAAAGCTCCAGGTTTCACCTCCTTTAGGCCCCCCCAAGAGCTCCAGGTTTCACCTCCTTTAGGCACCCCAAGAGCTCCAGACCTCCTTTACACGCCCCCGAGAGCTCCAGGTTTCACCTCCTTTAGGCCCCCCGAGAGCTCCAGGTTTCACCTCCTTTAGGCCCCCCCCAGAGCTCCAGGTTTCACCTCCTTTAGGCCCCCCGAGAGCTCCAGGTTTTAGGCCCCCCCCCCCAGGTTTCACCTCCTTTAGGCCCCCAGAGCTCCAGGTTTCACCTCCTCTAGGCCCCCCCGAGCGAAGCTGCGAAACGTATACCTCCCGCTCGTGCGCCTGTGTCCTCAAGCAGAAACAGCCTAGATCGTAGCGGCGCTTGCAGCTCGCCATGCCGAAGATTTGCACTGGGTTTGTGGACCCTGACGGCGGCGTGCGCCCTTGCATCTTTGCAGAGGATGGGCAGGGTGGCCCTGCGCAATCGAAAGGCGGCAGTTGCTTGTTTTGCGACGCAGGGAAGCTGGAACTCGCTCTCGGTTCTCGCATTGGCAAAGGAAATCTGGTAAGGCGATTGAAGGCTTGGCATCGAAAAGGGACGCCAGTCTATGAAGCAGCATTTACCTTCGGTACCTTATGCGCATTGTCCGACAGCAAGAGACAAGTGCTACGATGGGGCGCCGGAGAGCCAGCCCGGTTCGAGCGGAAGACCAGTTGGTTGCACCGCAAGAAATTGCGCCTTAAGCGTTTTCTCTGGGGCCGGCCAATTCCGGTAGCCAGCAACGAGAGCCTGCAGTACTTGCGGAATGAGGTAGCATCTTCTTCAACCTATTGGCAGAACTTGCTGTGCAGCTTCTCGGTCTGCCGGAAAATGGAGAGCACTTCAAGCGCAAGGAAAGCCAAGAAGAGGAACTGCGGTTACTGGAAGAAGACATCCGGCACAGCTGCAGCAAGGAACTGGCGCCGGAAGTGGTGGCGCGTCCGGCGTCTAATCAAAGAGCAGCTGCTAGCGTGGGCCGCCAAGGGGCCCCCTTGGAACTGCAGCGCCGAATTCCAGTGGGCTATGGAAGAAGAAATTTTGGAGCCTGGCTTGCACGTTTCCTTGCAATCAACTTCCATTGAAAATCACCCCATTTGCTTCGTGGCTGAGGACGGGGAGTTGCTTTACTTCGAACGCAACGGGCCATACGGCAACAAGTTGACAACCGCCATGCGCTCCATCAACAATGCGCTGGGCAAAGAAGTTGTCAAGACGTATGAAACCGAAACGTCCAACCATATGCAAGAACGTGGCTATGCATTGCACCCGCACATGGTCACGGGTTGCATTTATTCGCCCTTGTACGTGACAAACATGCTTCAAGCATTCGGCTTCAAGCTGCAATTGTGGAGGGACTCACAAACATGGCCAGCAGGCGCCAAAAGCTTGCTGCAAATTCGTGGAAAAGACGCATGGTATACGCAGTACTGGGCTGCACTGACACGTCGCGATGACAAAGTCTACTTGCTAGATTGTCAAAAAGATGCACCTGTTCACATTCCCAAGTGGCAACAGTCCGTGGTCATGTACATAACCTATGCAGTTGTTCCGCTTCAATGAGTTCGCAGAATCAGGACGAGCATTGAGGAAGCGAGTTTGTGTGCAAAACACAACCCTAATCCGAGCTGTACATCGTGTCACCTGCATCGAGTTCCTTGCGACAGTGGAGAAAACCGAGTTTCTCACATCGCGTTTGGCCATTCTGTCCAGCGTTCATGTGCCGCCTATGGTCCCAAATTAAGCTCCGGGAAGCCGAAAAAATTAGGCCCACAGGAGCCCCCAAAATCAGGGACCGGGACAACAACTCAAGCTCCTAGGTTCCGGGCCTGGGAAGCTTTTGGGAGATCCAAAAGGTACGGGAGGTCCCACAAAGTGCCGACAAACCCCAAACGAGGCCTGGGAGCTATGAAAAGGAGACCAAATTAAGCCCCGAAAAGCGCGGGAACCCCCCCCGGCAAACCCCAAATTAGGCCTCCAAGGCTCCAAATTAGACACAGGCCCCCACAAATTAGGCCCGGCAGGCCCCATAAATCCCGGCCCCAAGATCAGGCTCCGAGAGCCCTAAATTAGGGAGACCCCGAATCAAGCCCCGCAAGAGCCGGGAGACCCCAAATTAGGCCCCGGGAAACCTCAAAGAGGCTCTGGGAGGCCTTGGGAAGGAAGGGAAGTGCTGGTTTTCCTGGTAAAGGGCAAAAGGAAATATCCCCTTAAACTAGAGAGCGTCGGTTTCCCGGTTAAAGGCGACACAAAAACTACTCACTTTTACCCTTCACCGGGAAACCTGCGCTCTCTATTTTAAGAGAGAAGGTTTCCCGATGAAATCGGGTTTTTCCTTTTGCCCTTTACCGGGAAACCTTCGCTTCTCTTTTTTAAGAGAGAAGGGTTTCCCGATCAAAAAGGTTTTTGGGACCCAAACCCTATACAAGCTCTATAAACCCTAAACCCTAAACCCGTAGGAACCCAACCCTAAAAAAAAAAAAAAAAAAAAAAACCCCCCCCCCCCCCTAAACCCTAACCCTAAACCTAACCCTAAACCCTAAACCCGAAAACCCTAAAAACCCTAACCCTAACCCTAAACCTAAACCCTAAACCCAAAACCTAAACCCTAAACCCTAACCCTAAACCTAAACCCTAACCCTAACCCTAAACCCTAACCCTAACACTAAACCCTAAACCCAAACCCTAAACACCCAACCCTAAACCCTAGGACCTGCTATTCCTACCTACGCCTGGTTAACAAACGTACCCTAAACCCTAAACCCTAAACCCTAAACCCTAAAACCCTAACCCTAAACCCTAAACCCTAAACCATAGCACACCCTAAACCCTCAAGACAAAATAAATAGAAATTGTATGTGGTATCATTCTGAATTTCCCAAGTTATTTGTCTAAACAGCTGACAAGCAGAGTTTGAGTAAACTAATCCAAAACGCTTCTGGGAGGCCAAGTTTAAGTAAATTGATTCAAAATCCTACTGGGAGGCAAAATATTCAATTAACTTAAACCTGCCTCCCCTGACCTCCCCCTCAAAACCCCCTCCCGCCCTTTCGGCACCTTTCGGCCCCCCACCGCCCTTCCCCACTCCCCCCCTCCTCCCCCCCCCCCCCCCTCCTCCCCCCCCTCCCCACCCCTCCTCCCCCCCTCTCTCCTCCCCCCCCCTCCTCCCTCCCTCCCCCCCCCCTCCTCCCCCACCCCTCCCTCCCCCCCCCTCCTCCCCTCCCCCCTCCTCCCCCCCCCCCCCCCTTCCTCCCCAACCCCCTCCTCCCCCCCCCCCTCCCAGCTAATTTTGAGCTCTGAAAAGCTGATTTTGAGCTATGTGGGGGGCTAATTTTGAGCTTTGGGAGCTAATTTTGAGCTCCGGGAGCTAATTTTTAATTCTAAGCTTTAGGAGCTAATTTTGAAATTTTGAGCTCCGGGAGCTAATTTTGAGCGCCGGGAGTTAATTTTGAGGTCTGGGAGTTAATTTTGAGCTCCGGGAGAAAATTTTAAGCTCCGGGAGCTAATTTTGAGCCCCGGGACCTAATTTTGAGCTCTGGGAGCTAATTTGGAGCTAATTTTGAGCTTCGGGGGTTAATTTTAAGCTTTGGGAGCTAATTTTGAACTCTGGGAGCTAATTTTTGAACTCCGGGAGGTAATTTTGAGCTCTGGGAGTTCATTTTTTGAGCTTCGGGAGCTAATTTTGAACTCCGGGAGCTAATTTTGAGCTCCGGGAGCTAATTTTGAGCTCTGGGAGCTAATTTGAGCTCCGGGAACTAATTTTGAGCTCCGGGAGCTAATTTTGAGTCCCGAAAGTCAATTTTAAGCTTTAGGAGCTAATTTTGAGCTCCGGGAGCTAATTTTGAGCTCCAGGAGTTAATTTTGATAATTTTGAGCTTTAGGATCTAATTTTGAGCTCCGGGAGCTAATTTTTAGCGCCGGGAGCTAATTTTGAGCTCCGGGAGCTAATTTTGAGCTCTGGGAGCTAATTTTGAGCTCCGGGAGCTAATTTTGAGCTCCGGGAGCTAATTTTGAGCGCCGGGAGCTAATTTTGAGCTCCGGGAGCTAATTTTGAGCTCTGAGCTAATTTTGAGCTCCGGGAATTAATTTTGAGCTCTGGGAGTTAATGTTGAGCTCCGGGAGCTAATTTTGAGCTTTGGGAGCTAATTTTGATTCCACCCCCCCCCACGCCGACCCTAAAACCTAAAATCTAAAAAGAAAACGTTTCGCTCAAAACTTTCGCTCAAAACTTTCGCTCAAAACTTATTGGGACCCAAACCCTATACAATTTCTATAAACCCTAAACCCTAAACCCTAAACCCTAAACCCTAAACCCTAAACCCTAAACCCTAAACCCTAAACCCTAAACCCTAAACCCTAAACCCTAAACCCTAAACCCTAAACCCTAAACCTCTCCTACCATAAAATTATAAACCTTAATGGTATTCGTGGGCAAGGCCCAAATATTCGTGGGCAAGGCCCAAAGATTCGTGGGCAAGGCCCAAATATTCGTGGGCAAGGCCCAAAATCCGGATTTTGGGCCTTGCCCACGAATTTTTGGGCCTTGCCCACGAATTTTTGGGCCTTGCCCACGAATTTCTGGCGTTGCTGGTTCGTGGGCAAGGCCCAAAAATTCGTGGGCAAGGCCCAAATATTCGTGGGCAAGGCCCAAATATTCGTGGGCAAGGCCCAAATATTCGTGGGCAAGGCCCAAATATTCGTGGGCAAGGCCCAAGTATTCGTGGGCAAGGCCCAAATATTCGTGGGCAAGGCCCAAGTATTCGTGGGCAAGGCCCAAAAATTCGTGGGCAAGGCCCAAGGCCCACAATGCCCTTGAGACCCTAAACCGTTGAGCCCCTAAACCCTTGAGACCCTAAACACTTGAGACCCTAACTAGGGTTTCAGGGCCTCAAGGCCTGGCGTTTAAGGTTTCAGGGCCTCAAGGGTGGCCCCAAGGCATGGCGTTTAGGGTTTCAAGGCCTCACGGCCTGTGTTTAGGGTTTCAGGGGCTCAGGGCCTGTGTTTAGGGTTCCAGGGCCCAGCGTTTAGGGTTTCAAGGCTTCAGGGCCTGTGTTTAGGGTTTCAGGGCCTCAGGGCCTGTGTTTAGGGTTTCAGGGCCCAGCGTTTAGGGTTTCAAGGCCGCAAAGCCTGTGTTTAGGGTTTAGGGTCCAGCGTTTAGGGTTTCAAGGCCTCAGGGCCTGTGTTTAGGGTTTCAGGGCCTCAGGGCCTGTGTTTAGGGTTCCATGGCCCAGCGTTGAGGGTTTCAAGGCTTCAGGGCCTGTGTTTAGGGTTTCAGGGCCTCAGGGCCTGTGTTTAGGGTTTCAGG